GAATCTCTAAAGGTAGATTTGCAGCTACAGCTATACAAGTTGAAAAGATGCAAGCAAAAAAGTTCATTAAAGATTTGACAATCCTGAATAGAACTGCAGAATTTATTAGAGATCAATAAATTTAAAATACTTGTTTCTTTTTACTGCATTGAATTCTCTCTCTGCTACAGATAAGTAAGAGATATATTATAACTCTGATTCTGCTTTTTCCCTTTTAACCTAGTTTTCCCTTCCCAAATAAATTCAAATGATGCATTTTACCCTTCCTCCTGGGTGATTTCTTCCCCATCCTCTATCTTAACTCATGTCTTAATTTCCCTCTTTCTTACTCGTTCTCAAATGGATAGTTTCTCATGGAGTTCAGTTAGGTTTTGGTAATCATATCAGTTCTGAGAATCACACAATGCCTTGAGCATGTACCCAATAAATGTTTGTTGAATGAAGACATTATTCTCATTCTCTATTTTAAGGAGACAACATTGCACTAATGTCCTCTCTCCATGTTCAAGTTGAAAGAGATCTTAGAGATCAATTAGTCCAACTACTAGATAGACAAACACACACACACACACACACACACACACACACACACACACACGAGTCTCACTCTATATCATTTCTGATGTAGAATATCCAGTCTGTGCCTGCATATTTCTGATGAGAAGCTCACTGCTTTATAAAGTCTATACTATTAAAGGACAGCTCCACAACTTAAAAAGTTGTATTTATTTTAAATGATTTTTAATTATTTTTAATGTTCATTTATTTTTGAAAGAGAGACACACACAGTGCAAATGGGGGAGGGGCAGAGAGAGGGAGATGGAGAGACACAGAATCCAAAGCAGGCTCCAGGCCCTGAGCTGTCAGCACAGAACCTGATATGGGGCTCCAACTCACAAATGGTAAGATCATGACCTGAGCTGAACTCGGACACTTAACCAACTGAGCCACTCAGGTGCCCCATAAGTTGTACTTATTTTAAATAAAAAAAAATTTCTCCTTAAAACTTCCACTGATTGTTTAGCATTGGGCTTCCTTCAAGGCCACATACCCCAGTAGAAATTCCCTTGACTGGTAATCAAGAAGCCTGTTTTTTAGCTCCAACTTTGCAGCTGACCAAGTATCTGACCTTTGACAAGTTGTTTCTCCTCTCCTGAGTGAAGTTTCAACTATTAAATGAGAGGACAAAAAGTATATTTAAGATCATTGACAAAAATAACAGAAACCTATTACACACCACTAAAGACTTATCTCTAGGCTAACTCTGATTCATTAGTTGACACTATTTTGATGAGGCTACTTAACCAGAAAACATGTACCAATATGTATAATTATTTCATCCACAGTTTTTTATCTTCTCAAAGGTATCAGGAAAAAAACCTTCAAAGTCATATTGAAGTCCAGATACAATGCTTTTATTAATACTCCCAGTAATTCAAATAAAACTTAAAATTTGTAAATTTGTATGACTTGCTCTAAGGCACTGAAGTTTGATATTCTTTTCTAACTCAAATTGTTAGGCTGAGTCTATCTTTGGGCAATTATTAAAATATATAGATAATATATCATGGATCATCAAAAGACCTGCTTTCTATGCCAAAACGATGATCTACCCAAAATAGTTTCTTTATTTCCAGCGAACCCAAAATGAAGCTCCAGGTGGAGAAATGTTTCTTTCCTGCCATTGTGGTGCACAGGGGTCAGAGACCAAGCACCAAAACAACATCCTAGAGAAATATGCTATTGAGATCACTACAGAATATTGAATTCAAGTGAGTTTTCCACCAAGATGGGTCTTATTAATGATGTCAGGCACCATGACATGTAGTGTCTTGAGTGCAGAAATGCCAATGAGATGGTGCCAAAGATATAAATAAATAAGATGAAAATTAGGAGCACAGAACAAATTAGGCAGGATGAAAATGACCTGAATTCATCCTAGGTAACTGGCTGCCCAGGTATGTGGTTGTGTTTTACATGCTCCGGTTTGAGTTTACTGATGGGAGGGAGCCAGATTCATTTAGAGGTGCTGGGATTTAAAAGACTAGTTAAAATGAGAAATGCATGGTATTCAGACTTATTTGTCTTTGGAGGATATTTCTGTTCTTTCAGCTACTTGGATAGCTTCCTTCTAGAGTCCCTAAGCTCTTTTCAGTTCTCTGAAACAGTTCAGATTATACCACAGTTTCTAGGAATATTTAATATAAATTTCACATCAGTTAGGTCATATGTACTTAGGTCCAACATGTACTATAAAGTAAGAATGTGTATTTTGAGTAAAACTGGGAGAGGGAAGGAACACTTGACAGCAAAATATGATAACTAAAAACAAAAATCACTTGATGATAATTCCTATGCAGAAGCATCAACTCAGAGTGATTCTCCAGAAAGCTGTAGAACTGCCCCTGGGCATCCAATGTCACCATATCCATAATGCTAGAAACTTACTAAAACCCAGAATCCATTTGAAACCAGTTTGGGTCCTGCTTCACTAAAATATTCTCAAGAATCCCTACTTCCCTCCAAGAAGCTACCCTTTGGGATTTTCCTGTAACACATTCCACTGTCTGTCTCTCCCCTACAGCAACTGGTCCTGTTGGGACTCTAGCTAGAAGAGGTGCTTCTGGTTGGAGGCTGTGATGGAAACTGAGGCAACAGAAATAAGTCTGTGGGTGCCTGGAATGTAAGAACAATTTCCAAAACCAACTTAACAAAAATAGGTTGAAAATAGCTGTAAGAACCACACCTGCCAATCAGCTCCTTCTATATTCAGCCACCCTGAAGAGCATCTTAACTAGGGTGGTTTTCAACTAAGTAAATATGCCCTTAAATCCTTTTTAATCAAAGGTTATCAAGCCTTTGCAATGGTAGGTGGACCATGAAAAAGAGATCCATGAGCATATTTTTGCACTGGCAAGAAAACAAAAATGTCACTCAACTAAATTTAAGACTGTTCACACACATCTGTTACCACCAGAATGTTATAAACAAGAAAAGAAGAAGAAAGAAAGAAAGAAATGTGAATGGTTCAATCTAAACAGCTCTAAATATATTTCTATTGTTCAGATGACTTATGCTATTTCAACAATGATTGAAAGGCTATCAAAGCAGAAGCCAAAACATGTTTGTGGTTTGTCATATAACAACAATTTTTGGCTAAATAAATACCCAGACAACAATATCTCAACTACAAAATGTATAATGCTAGATAGCTGTTATTATAAATATATCACTAAAATGTGTGCAAAAAGAAATATAAAATGTTACCCTTCAGATAATATCATAAGTTAACGACATCCTTGAGAGACAAATACTGAGGCAAAGATTGCAGAGAATAAATTTCTGAATCAGGTACATTTCCCCCATTTGAGGACATAAAACAGATGTGTTTTGTGACATGAGCCTCAAATCCTCTAAATTAGAATGTTACAGTATAATCAGCCAGAATGATTTGTCCAAAGTCCACTACCAGCAGAAATGAATGCAGTTTATCACAAAGAAACAAAGTTTTAAAACTATCGAAGTGCACTCAGTATTTTAATAGTGTATGAAAGGAACTACTTACTCATCTGTAAAAATCAAAGCAGGATTATAAAATTTGGGGAAATGAAACTAAAAGAACTGGAATCATAAATCTATATTTTGTTCCTTTCAAAAACTTATTTTTTAAAAATATTGGCACTAATTAAAGAAGTCATCAGTGGATCTATTAAGCAAAGTAGGCAAAACAAGATCTCCTTAATTTAAAATTGAGTCACATCCTCCAAAATTTTGTACTCCATACACTGTCAAAATGTAAATACAATTTATCTAAAAATCAACGGCCAAATTACTATTGAGGTAAGAAGCAACAGAAAATTCACTTGGAAATTATAACAAAAGAATTAGTTATATTTGAAATAGGGATTTAGCTAAGTAAATTACATTTACTACTCGTTTTTATAGGAGACGAACTATTGAGGGAAATAAATTCCATATTACAATAATATAAAAAGATAATTTTATTAGGCTTTAAAATAAATGGTTCCTTATAAATAATTGTTCCAAACCTTGCTTAACTAACCTGAGAATAGACAATTATTTGTTATACTACTTTTTTATGACACTCTGTTCTCTTAGACAAATTTGAATAGTTAAAATATCTATTGGGGTCATTCTTGGTAGCAGTTTGAAGTATCTTTTCTTCATTGGTTATGTTGTATCATATCATAGTACTACACTTTGACAGTTTTAAGAAGGGTATTTACAGATGTTTTTAAATAAACCATTTTTTAAATGGTTTGAACAGTTAAATTGGACTATTTTGAAACTAGTAAAATATTTTCAATGATGTCTAAAAGTATGTCTTTAGAAGTATATCTATAGTCATTTTATAAAAGAATCTGTCCTTTATACTTACTATAGGTTTTTACTGTACATATATTATATCTGTAAATTTAAAATGTTCATAAGTTATTAAATATCCCCTATGTGTCCCAATATTAGAACACCTAAACATTTGCTCTTTTTGGTAACAGAAAGTATGACCTGGAATTTTAAAAATTAAAACCATCTTTCTAAAAACAAATCAGAAACTACTTTTCAAAAAAGAGCCTTGTTTTTACAAATGGCAACAAACTGCAAAGCTAGAATTATTTAAATGTGTACACAGAAATGTTATTTCCAAAGCAATTGCTTTGTCCAACTGCAATGCAATTAGTTTACAATAAATTAAAACAAAAACTTAGATTCTCAAAATTCAAAGCAAAAACATTCACATTCCAACTGTTGCAATGAGAAAGTAATTTTTATGAATTAATGTATTAACACTTCCTAATATAATATCTTTAAGTGCTTAATACTGAATTTGAAATGTAATAAAGGTCATCACTTTTTACAGTTTAATGTAGTCTGGCTCGGTTTGACTTCAGAATTTCCTTTCTTTGAAACTCCTATACATATTCTATGTATGCAAAAATATAATGCACGTAAAATAGATGATAGACATTTGGAAAACTTACACTGTCAGATTGCTTGCTCCGGTCACAGTCCCACGTCGTTCCACACTGCACAGACCTCTCCATGGTGCTGACGAGCTACCCTTGCCCATTTGAAAGGAAAGAGTTATTTATTCGAACTGGCTTTGAAGGAAATCCATAAAGAGTCGCCTGTTTTAGCAAGTAAAGTTATCTGAAGAATTTCTGTAACACATGCTACAAAGCAGTTGCTTTGCCCTTCAGTTATCAATCACAATGCTTAGGCAGCTCAAAGATTTTGGAGCAGAAATCTTCAAGTATTGACGAAAAAGAGAGAGAGAGAGAGAGCTCTTTGGGAGATGAAGTTTGCTGATTTTCTTCAGTGATCTTCAGATTGAAAACACACACACACACACACACACACACACACACACACACACACAGAATACAAGGCTACCCAGAGAACAGAGGATTCCAGAAAAGTTCTTGATCTTAATGCAGAAAACAAGCTTCCATTAGTCCAAAGCAACAAATTCCTTCATCCTATCATTGCATCTACTTTTTAATTAAAAAAATAGTAAGATGAAATAAAGCTCAGAATTCAACAAGGCACTGCATGCACAGTGTAAACAGGTATGCCTCACTGTAGCCTTCGTGTCTGTCTGCTGAAGATTATCACAGCAGAAATCAGGCTCTTGTGGCTTTCACAGATTATCTCTTTCTGAGGCTGCAACATATAAAGAGCCACATGACACCCAATGATGTCATCTCTAAAGCAGGTCACAGTTGCTGCTGTATGTAGATGAAGTCCTTCTACTGAAGTGTTTGGCATAGTGATTTTCTTGAAAATCTACTTGCATTAAAAAGCATGGTCTTCTATCAATATACTTAGCCTTATCAAAATACTGGCATGAAGAGAAAATCAATTTATTGCTCACATGTGAAGCAGCATGTTTGTTTAAGTTAAAATCACCTTCTGCTGCCACTTTAGGAAATGAATAATTGTAATTAACTCATGGCAAATATAGTGAAGAAGGAACTAAATGAATTGTAGAGACACAGAATTTACCTCTAAAACAATTTTCAGAATTTTTAGCACATTAAAAAATATTATTCTTAAAATCAATCCATGAAAACTGCAAAATAAAAACTAAGGCAACTGTCTTCAACTTCTAACACCATTTTATGCAATGGAATTTTAAAGATGTTTCAAAGACATAAAAAAATCTTACTGATGCTACCTGAAAGGATCTGAGTATGTTTTCAAATGTTGGCAGGAAACTTTAACTTACTACTTTTAGGTATTTTTCATCTCTGAATAAAGTAACAATTAAAATTTTAACTATAACTAATCTATACATGTAACTGGTGATGGTATATATAGACACTATTTTTTTTAATGTATAATAATTAGAAATACCCATTTCCATTTTGGGTAATATATTTCTTTTCTCTTTCTCAACTATGTAGTCACACATCACACATTTTAGGATTTTCAGTGATAGATGACATTTCTGTCAGCTAATAGTTAAGTCATCTAATCCCCCTTCATGCCAACTTAATAATCTTCACAATGTGAAGAGTAATCTGAAACTAATCTAATCAGAGTTTATTGAGTATATCCCTTATTAATAAAAACCCAAATGGATCAAGCAACAGAAACCTCCCTTGAAGAGCACAGAAACTGAGGAAGAGAAAACAGAATTTTCTACACAACCAATGCCACTGAGAAAATTCCATTAAAACAATAGTGACTCTTTTGGTATCGGATCAGGAAAAAATGAGCTTCAATACCCCACCCCCAAATGTATTGATGCCATGCTATAATCCTCTCCATGACTGAAATGAAAATTGGAAGAAATATTCATCACCTGGATGCTCTGGTCGTGTAAATTTACTAAATAAAATCTGTTTGTTTGTTTTTGCAATTCCTATAACATAGTGTTTTTTACACTTTAAAAAAGTATTACCTGGAGGATTGCCTGGAACATTTTTTTTTTTTTTTTTAAATATAGGCTCTCAGGACTCTTTTCAGATATCCTGACACAACACAACTGCTGTGGTTCTGAAATCTATATATATATTTTTAAAATTTTTTTAATGTTTTTTATTTATTTTTGAGAGAGAGAGACAGCATGAGCAGGGGAGGGTCAGAGAGAAAGGGAGATACAGAATCCAATGACAGGCTCTAGGCTCTGAGCTGGCTGTCAGCACAAAGCCCGACATGGGGCTCGAACCCATGAACTGCGAGATCATGACCTGAGCTGAAGTCAGATGTTTAACTGACTGAGCCACCCAGGTGCCCTGAAATCTATATTTTTTAAGTTCCCAAAATAATTCCTATTTGAAAAACACTGCATAATTGATATAGTGCAATGTATACAATCTTATAAAAATCATAATAGGATAAAAATAATTTGGTATTTATCATAACAAAAGGCCAAATTATTGCTACATGAAGCATGTGATGTTGGGAGGGGCCCTTCTCATGTGCTCAGGGTTCCATGAGGAAGCACTTTCCTAAATACTCCTAGCCTCTGACTTCCACACCTTAATCCTCTCCATGAAGGTGGAACAAGTAAGCCTGATTGGAGGATTGGGCAAAGGGACTGGGCAGCTCAGGACCATTTTCTCTCCATTTTTCTATGGGCTCCACCTCCCTATGTAAGATCTATGGGTGAGGCTGGCAGTTTTCAGTGCTTCCCATGATTGGTAAGCTTCCCTACAAAGGTCAGTTCAATAGTGCCATAAATCAGAGTTACACCCTCAAATCCAGGTTTGACAGTAAATAAAGATGAGATTTTGGTATCACTCTTCCTAAATCTCTTGTCTTTCAAAATAAATTCCCAAATCAAGAAGGGAAAAGGAGTTATTTATTGGCTCCCTAAAACTACATCTTCTGACACTGTTAAGTTTAAACCCCACCTCATCCTTTTAATTTAAACCCTACCAGCCAGTTAATGTAACAAGTTTTACATGTGAAGTAACTTAATAACATTTGCATTTGCATAATATAGTTCTATGATAAAGGTCTATAAGAAGAAGTATAAAAATTTCATTGGAAGTTTTCAAAATGTATTGCTCAACTCATACTAATTTTATTATTGAGTCACTTAGAAACTCCAGCTCTTGGAATTTTTCTTCAACAAGTAGTAATTCGAGACCAGTGCTTATGAAAGTGTTCCACGGATTGATAGTCCAATAAGATGGGACTCTTCCTGGGGTTCATTGTCACAGAAGTTTGGAAAACATGAAAAACAGTACCCTACCCTCCTGTGAGTTCAAAATGTCTATTAGCTTAGAAAGGCTCAAAGAGATCCTCAAGTAAATAAATGGGCTTATTTCACCCTTCCCCCAATTAACACCCATCAATTTCTTATAAAACTAATATTCCAGGTAGTACATCATGAGAAATTCTGCTCTAGAAGATATTTCAAGCAGTCAGACTTTTATTAATAATAATATCTCAACCTTTTATCAACTAATCAATAAAATGTTATTATCTCCTATAAGTTACCAGTGAATCTGTGACAAGAGTTGCCAACCATGACTGAGGAATTATATAAATTCTGCAAGAGCAGGGGTTGTGTGTATTTGGATGAGGCCCAGCACACAGGCACTTGGATATTTGTTGAGTAAGTGAATAGACAGTGTAGACCCAATCCAGAGATATGAATAACTACTCCATCCCCAATGATGTCTTACTTACGAAAAGAAAGGAAGTCCAAAAGAGCCCTAGGCCAATGAGCTTCCAGAATAAAAGGAACACAATAATAGATCTCACTCCAGTTCTATCACATTCAACTTCTCCTTGGATCCTAAAGCATCTCTCATACTCACCCAATGAGTGAAATACTGATTTGTAATATTGAAATTAGATTTGATAACAGAGGATACACTCTGGGTCTAACAGGGGGATTTGACACTGTATCTTACCAAAGCTGTAGAATACGGACAGGATTTACGTAAGGACAAATGCTGAGACTGGACTTGAGGTGAAGTGCAAAGAAAATAAATAAGTTCCTTCTCAACTCTCTTTATCAAAAGAAAGATGCTTAACGCCTAGTTTTTTGCATCTATACTTACAGGTCAATAACTTTGAAATTGCTAAGGAGAACTTATTATATTACTATGAATGAGTCGGTTATCAAACAATGAATTGTCATTTTTGTATATCATTTGGAACCCAGAAAATGATCAGCATTAGTAATTCTTTAAAAAAATTTATCCCCAAACTGAAACAACATGCTTACTTTTAAACCTATTAAGAAAAATGTCCTCACATCATTATTAAAAGGATAATTTGTGGGACACCTGGGTGGCTCAGTTGGTTAAGCATCCAACTCTTACTTTCAGCTCAGGTCTTGATCTCATGGTTTATAAGATGAGCCCCGTGACTCTGCGCAAGGCCTGCTTGGGATTCTCTCTCTTCCTATCTCTGTCCTTCCTCTACTTGTGCTCTCTCTCCCAGAAAAAATAAATAAATATTTTAAAAAGGATAATTAGAGAAAAAGAATCTACAACATTAACCAATATTCAAAGATATAAAAAGGAGTGTTTTGACATAAAGACAAATATCTTTATATAAAATATATTCGGGGCACCTGAGTGGCTCAGTCGGTTAAGCGGCCAACTTCATTTCAGGTCATGATCTTGCAGTCCGTGAGTTCGAGCTCTGTGTCAGGATCTATGCTGACAGCTCAGAGCCTGAAACCTGCTTCAGATTCTGTGTCTTCCTCTCTCTCTGCTCCTCTCCCACTCAAGTTCTGTCTCTCAAAATTGAATAAACATTAAAAAATATATTCATTCAAACTGTCATATATGATCATATGTTATATAATGTAATTTCTAAAACTTTGGGAAAATATTTGTTCTGGAAGACTCTGGCTTGAAGAAAAGAGAATATCTACTTTTATGCAAGTGCCAAGAAGTCTCTTTTTACATATGATTCCTATATTCACTGAACCAAAATTTGGGGTGAATAGACTTAAAATTTGTGCTATTTGGGGGGTCTGAGAGGCTGGATGGAAGATAGAGTTTGAGTACCGAACATTAAAAGTTATGGGCCTAAGTTTATAACAACAGCTGGCATAATATTGTAACTTGTCCCTGACCTGGAAAATCT